GCATTCAAATGCAGCCTATTAATCTAAAATAATGCTATTAATGATATTAACTCTTTAATTAATAAAAGTACTCCTATCCACCAAAAATTGAAATTTTGTCATAGACTAGTCGTCCTCTTTACACGACTATAAATTAATCCAACTGAAACTTATTATTCCCTTTTCTGATGGTAAAAGAGTATGTCAATCTTGATTAATGCAATGCTATGCATTTGAGTGCACAAGTAATGATAAAAGGTTAAAAAGATATAAATATATACAGATGTTAATTTATGAATTGAAATTATATACTTAAAATTAACTTTTATGACCTGAATCAAAATCAAGGCAAGAATGGACTTTAAAATGGTATTGATGACGCTGTGATTTAACTTTTATGACATGTACGGAAATCAAGAAAGGTATCAATCTTATACATTATAGATGAGATTCCAAATGTTTATATCTATGCCAATGATTGTAGTGTAGTCAAGGTGGGTTAGTCGGCATCTTCAGAATTTTTTGACATAGTTGCAAGTAGGCACCTTCCGTTAAAGTCATCAAATAAGAGGCATGGAAATGTCTAAAATACTCATATAATTACTATTTGCGCTGATTCCTACAGAGAAAAAAAAATGAAAGAGAGAGTTTAAATTGAGTTATAGTTTTATCTCTGAATGATTGATATGAAGGGAAAATTTGAAAAATAAATCAATCTCAGAAATGAGATTAGAGAGGTGGGATAGTAACTGCATGGGTATTTTGAACATTTCTGTGTGTGCCTCTTGTTAAAGGATTTTAAGAGAAGGGATCTACTTAATTGCAACTATGTCAAAAAGTTTAGAGGAAGTGATTGCAATTATTGAACTTCAGAGTAAGTTTTAACAAGGGCCAAAAACTTTAAGGGAGATTTCAGCAATTTTCCTTTTATTTTTATTTTTATTTGTATGAGGTTCAAGAACTTTATATCTATACCAGCAATGACTATAGCCTATGTGATTAGTTGGCATATTAAACTTTAAACTTTGTTAATGCCAGTGGTCCCATGTGGTGTTCTTGTCATCTCAACCCCACTAATCAGGCCTAGTGTATAGCATTTCAAGGGCCCAAAGTCATACCAATACAGACGGGTAAATTACTTTAACCTCCTCCATAGTTTCTCACTACTGTCTCCATGGTTTCTCACAACTGTTTTAATTAACTTTCACCACCTTATCCCTCTACTTTTCCAATAAATTATACAAATTGACCCCTTGCGTTATTAGATTTATAGTGTGACATTAAAGCTGCATTTGGCATTTCTTGGAATTATCTTCTTTTTATAGTTAAAAATTTGGTGCTTATAGACATATTTTAACTGCAAAAGAGAGATAAATCCTTAAAATAAGAAATGCCAAATGCAGCCTAAGATTAATAGCGAAACGAAAAATTAAAATAAGAATAGAGAAACTTTCTTCGAACGAAATCCATGACGATCTCCTCTCTCCCTCTGTATTTTTCTCATCAAATCTCTTGATTATTTTTGCTTTTTTATTGATATTTTTGTACTTTCATCATCATCATCAATTATATATCTAAATGAAGATATAAGGTTAAATTTATAATTTAATACACATCCGTCTGTTCAAAACTAATGGAAGGGTCGCTTTGTATCTATATATCTATTGATACAAAGCATGGATTCGCGGCAGCCTTTACGTTGAGTAAATGGCATCTCCACGAGTGACCATAAAGTGTGCGTGCGAGGTTCTTCATTGTTTATGCACGTGATATCTGTTCCAATGCTTGACTTTTCCACCCTCTTCTCTCAAATTTTCTTTCTTATCCAACTGCTCCCCACCCCTGTCTTTCTTCCGGTCCTACCACCCCCATTTCTCCCCTTTCGCCAAATGACAATAGATTTCCTTTTTACCTATCATCGGTTTTTGGGCTGACGGTTCGATCGTCTTGTTCGAACGGACATCTCGTTTTGACAACAAAAATTTACAAGTAAAAAGTTATGTAACTATTCTGGCCACCGGCTTTTGGGTTGACAGTTTGACCATCTTGTTTGAAATAGACATCCCATTCTGACAACAGAAATTATAGGCAAAAAATTGAATGTGTGGTCCATTGATTAGTATCATACATGTTATGTCATTAAAGCGTGTGACTCATACGACCCGAAAACGGAACCATTCTGGCCACTGGTTTTTGGGTCGACAGTTCAATAGTCCGGTTCGAACGGACAGCCCGTTCTAACAACAAAAGTAAAAAATGAAAAAAATGACCAAAAACCATTGAACGGGTTCACAGGTCGATGGTTCGACCACTCGGGTCAATGGGTCATTGACCGATTCAACGGTTTTTGGCCAAGGACCAGGATTGGAGTAAAACGGAATCAGTTTCTTGGATGGTTCCCAATTAAAAAAAATGGTAGCTTGTCCGTCCGATTTGAACGGATGGCCCGTTCTAACAATAAAAATAAAATAATGGCCAAAAACCATTGAACGGATCAATAGGTCAACGGTTCAACTGCCCAAGTCAATGGGTCGTTGACTGATTCAATGGTTTTTGACTAGGGACTGGGATTGGGATAAAACGGAACCAGTTGCCTGAATAGTTCCCAATTAAAAAAAATAGAAAATGGCCAAAAACCATTGAGCAGGTCAATGGGTCGATGGTTCGATCGCTCAAGTCAATGGGTCATTGACCGATTCAATGGTTTTTGGCTAGGGACTAGGGTTGGGGTAAAACGGAACCAGTTGCTTAGACAGTTCCTGGGCCAAAATGTTCATCCATCCGGGTCAACGATGGTTCAAAAACCATGGTTTTTTATGCTTTTCGATTTTCACTATTCAAAGGTTTCTTCTACTGTGGGCTTTATTCAAGCATGTGTAGTATGTTCCTTTTTTTTTCATTTTCTGCTTTTTTTTTTTGTATTTGATCTTCTTCTTCAACATCCTCCAAAACGGTCTAGGGTTTACCACTATTTTATTTCTTCCCTTTTATTTTTTTCTTTGGGTTTTCTTGTACAAAGTTTTTTTTTTTATTTTCTTACAAGATGATTTGTTTTTTCTCTTTCTTTGATTGCATGTATGTTTAGCTCCATCTCAAAGTGGAACTTTGGACTTGATTTTCTGATTTTTTTCCTTAATTTTTCTAGTTTGGTGGATTTACTGCCTTTTTTTTTCTATGTTTAAGGTCACTTTACATTTGTCTTTCAAGATTTTGGAATCCCTTGTAATGTCCACCCTTCCCATGACCATCCGGTTAGAATGGATGGCTCGTACTGACAACAAAAATTAAAAATAAAAAATAACCAAAAACCGTTGAACGGGTCAATAGGTCATTGCTTGATTCAATGATTTTTTGCTAGGGACCAAGTTTGGGGTAAAACGGAATCAGTTGCTTGGACGGTTCCCGGGCCAAATAGTCCTACCATTCGGTTCAACTGGGAGTTCTCGATGTAAAACAAAGGACAACTATGAAGTAAAACTTAGAACTATCATTGTATGATTGTATTCTTTTATATGAGATGCTTTGCTAAAGCAATATTTAAAAAACGAGCACATGATGATGTCTTTTAAATCTTTATATGAATTTCAAAACTTGAATACTTATAATTGTAAGTTTCTTACTAAGAAACCATTGTCTTTTCTAATATAATAAATACCAATATTACAATTCCAATTCAGCCCCTGCAAATCAAGGGCCCTCCACTAGTATAAAATTCATCCAAAATGTTTTCTATGAAATGAGGCCCATGCATGCTGCATAAGAGCCTACTTTGCCATAAAAAAAAGGTTGACAGTTGAGAGAAGAAAAAAAAATCGAACAAGGATACACACGATGCAGAATTCTGAATTCCAGCCGCCCCCTACTACTAGCCCTCTCCCCTATAAATCACTCCCTGCCCGTGAATTTAGCAACGGTCAGGATGCATTCCCCATGTACTTACTTTGGGGCTATATCTGAGCTTATTGGTCATTCTCCCAAAAAAATTATATCTACTTTTTCCTTAGCATTCCCCAACTTTAAGTCACATCACTTTTCATTTGAACTTTGTTTTTGTCCCATTTTATTTTTAAAGGTGCTTTTTAAAGTCTTACCCATAAATGGGATCACTACTTCGTCCGTCGGGTCAGCAGTTCAAACGTCTGTGTCAAATAGTTTAACCCAATATAAAGCAGATATAGCTAAAGAAAATAAAGTTATTATTAATGTTAGAACATACTAAAACATAAAAACAAAAAAAAAGAGAATGATTGATAAAACGGTCCAGTGGTTAACCAAACAGGTTATTGACCGAATGTATTTTTGGGAGAATGACCGTTCAATCCAGAATTAAAATTTTTAGGCCCAAAGTATAATTAGGATAGGTATTAGTTGAAAATAGAAGGCGGGAATTAATGTATAAAATAGAGTTTTTGACATTTTGAATATTTATAAACTTGTAATGGAATTGGGCCTATCCATACTTTTCCATATATTTATTATTTCACAAGTAAATAAGTGGGGACTTTAATTAAAATCTGGCAAGTGACAGATTGAATTAATGGTCCTTATTGAGATTGCGCATATATACATGTGGGGTGGGATTGGTCCAAGTAACTGTGTAAGGTATTTATTTTTACATTTAGATGAAATTCAATATGATTCAAACATATATTAATATGCTACTGTATAAGGAATGGTTAGATAGAGAAAGATAGAAAAATAAGATGGTTTGGTATCAGAGGGCATATACAAATATAAACGACTAGAAAAGTACAATTCTAGATAAAGATACAGGTACTGGCTCACAAAAGGAAGTTCTTATTACAGACTTGTGTAAAGAAACCAAATTTTCTCAATGTGAATTCTAGATTTTGTGGAATGATTCTACCATAAAACATGATCATGAACAAGGCACATATATCATGGGTACCTATACTACTCCACTAATTTTGTCTTGGAAGAAGATAATAGACCTCTGACCTAACATGGATATGCTCTACATCACCCACTCCATGAACTCCCCTCCATATAAATTCATCATCCCCCATAGACCTCTCACACCTCATGTTCTTGTAGGTCTGCTCAGTAAGGCAGTGTTAGCAGAACTTTGGTAGATCGATCTCTTTTAATTCTTTCTTTGCTCCTGATTAATTGTTATGGGCAGGCAAGAGTGGCTTGCCTTTGGCCTGTTGATATGGGGACTAGGGGGACAACTCTTGGCATGGAGCTTGGGCGTTGGAGACAACCTCCACAGCCAGTGCAGCTTTACCAGATACCCTGACCTCTGTGTGGAAACCATGTTAGGTTCAGGGTTAGGGCATGGGAATATTGATATAGTATCTGCTCTTGTAAAAAAGTCTATGGATGAAACCAAGTTTCCCACTCCAGATTCTTCAAATCCACTCTATGACACTGATAGCCTTAAAGCCCAGCACTCAAATGATGGTATAAGTAGTAACTCTACCAATATCTGCGCTTCCATGCATGAATTAATGCATTCTTCTTTATTTCTCATTTATACTAAGTTCTTCATCTATTTAACTCTGCAGGGCACTGTCTTGAGCTCATGAACATGTCGCTCAAGCGGCTGAACCAATCTCTTTTAGCTCTCAAAAGCTCTCACAGCACAACAAAAAGAAAGAACGATATCCAAACATGGCTGAGTGCTGCTTTGACATTCCAAGAAACATGCAGAGATTCCTTGGAAGGTCTGTCAGGCAGTCTCGTGGATCAAATATCAAGCAAGATGGATTACTTGTCTCGGCTGACAAGTAATGCATTAGCTCTTGCCAATCGCTTCTTGAGCAACCCAAGAAATAATTCAAGCCGGCATCTCACATCGATGGATGATTTCCCGAAATGGGTATCGGCCAGAGATCGTAAGTTGCTGCAGAGCACAGAGATAAAAGCCAATGCGGTGGTGGCGAAAGATGGCTCTGGTAATTACAAGACCATATCGGAGGCGATCGAGGCGGCTTCTGGGGGGAGGTTTGTGATATACGTGAAGTCAGGCACGTACAAGGAGGCGATTTCCACTAATAAAGATGGCATTACCCTCATAGGAGATGGCAAGTATTCGACCATTATTGTCGGTGATGACAGTGTCGGTGGTGGCTCCAGCTTGAGGGGATCCGCCACCTTTGGTAATCTCTCTCTCTCTCTCTTACATGTGGCAATGTAAATTTGGATGTTGACCCACCATAAATCAACTGATTCCACATCCACTCAAAATATTTGCCACCTGTAAACACTGAACTGTTGATATCAATTGCCAAAGTCCCTAATGCAAGGTGGACCATGTGGCTGATATGGACTAAAGGGATTATAGAGACCATCCAGTGAATCACCTGATGGTCTTGATTGACCAGAAGACCCCTCAACATAAAAAAAAATAAACAAAAAATAGTTTATATAGGGAATTTGCATACATGATCTGCCATATTTCTACCACATATATACAAGTATGATATATGGCCAATCCAAGGAGAAACCTGGATCCACCCAGTCCACATCAGCCCTGGACTCTACCTTTTGTAAGTTTTTTCTTTTCACAAATAATATTGGTTGTTGAAAGTTTTTAACACTGCATCATTCAACTTCTCATAAAGGATGACTTTAATCTGACCACTGGCTAGGATTTCTGACCTCAAGTTTGGGCTATTAATAGAAGACATGAGAGAAACTTGTGGCACAGATTAATCTGACCATTGGCTAGGATTTCCAAAGACTGTATTTCATCATTAATGCCATGGGAAGATTCTTCCCATCATCTGAGCTGTTTTACATTAAAGGAGGGGAAGATTTGACCCACCTCACTTTTACAAAGTTGGACGACATAGCCAATTATTAGTTTAGTTGAATTACTATAAATTACAGTAGCTAAAGCTCAAGTCTGTCTCTGTATCTCTTTTCTGAACAATTCATGTCGTTCAGTGAAAACTGAGAGATTTAGACTAATTTCTTCTATCATAAAGTGTCTCCACTTACAGGTCTAGCTTTTATTTGAGCAATCAAAACCATGTTTTTTGCGCATTTTACTAAATTCTGAATCCCCTACAGACCAAAAGCCCTGGTAATAAATAGACAGTAGAAGTTCTTTTTCTTGCACTCTCTTTTTCAATTAGCAAATGGTGGGGTATGTATGAAGTTGACATGGAAAAAATTAATGGACACAAATCACTGAGATTAGATTGCAAATTACGGGCTAGACCATTCATATTATCCCTACTACTTCATCCTCTTTATACATGAATAGTGGATTCTCGTGTGAAAGTGTGGAGCTGTTATCTCGGTGTTTTAGTTAGGCTTATTGAAGAATAATCCATGGTCCCTCCATTAATGGATGGTCCTGTCAAACATCTAAAAATTTGTGGATATGGCGATTCATACTTAACTATTGGGGTGGTGCATTAATTGTTAAGTAAATCCCAACCAATCTGCTGTGCTGTGTTTGGTTTGAAAGAAAAGATAGGGAAAGGAAGGAAAAGGTAGGGAAACTTGGCCCTACCTTTTCTTTCAAAACCAAACACACAGCCTAATTGAATCATTATATATCCAAACAAGAGAGACAAAATAGACTATGATTATTCAATTGATGTTGGATTAATCCTTTAACCTGTGGTTTCATGAAGCTAGCTAGAAATCTCCCACGTGGCAAGAAAGTGTGGGGCTCAAAAGGGCTTCATACTTGCCTCTTGTTGCTCCAAGTTGGAGGCAAATTTTAGGTTAAACCTCCTAACCAAGTGGCCAAAATAAGAGCTTCTGAGGGTATCTACAAATTGAAACTGAAAGAAATTAAACAAGGGTATGTAGGATTTTCTAGCTAGAAAGCCTCCTTCCCTTCTTGATCTGATTGTAATATATACATGAGAAGTGTTGTGGATCATTTTAATAGTATTTCAGTGAAACTCTGATGTGATGAGTTTTGTGCTAAGCAGCAATTACTGGCGATGGATTCATGGCTCGAGACATAGGGTTTCAAAATACAGCAGGTCCACAAGCCCAACAAGCCGTGGCTCTGAACGTTGTTTCTGATCGTTCTGTACTCTATAGATGCAGTATTGCAGGCTACCAAGACACACTCTATGCACACGCTCTACGCCAATTCTACAGGGAATGTGACATCTACGGCACAGTTGATTTCATCTTCGGCAACGCCATTGCTGTCTTCCAGAATTGCTTTCTGGCTCTACGTCGACATTCTGGGTCTTATAACGTAATCCTAGCAAATGGAAGGTCTGACCCAGGCCAGAACACTGGCTTCTCCATCCAAAACTGTAAAATTTCAGTGGCTTCTGACTCTGCTTCCGTCAAGCATTCCTCCAGCTCGTATCTAGGAAGACCATGGAAGGAGTATTCAAGAGCTGTGGTCATGCAATCCTACATTGATGATGTTATTGCACCAAGAGGTTGGATTGAATGGTCTGGAAATTTTGCTCTTAAGACGCTTTATTTTGCAGAATACAACAATTTAGGGCCAGCAGCTGGAACTTCTAACAGGGTTCAATGGCCTGGTTATCATGTCATTGGTGCTGATGAGGCTACTAAATTTACAGTGGCCAATTTCATTGGTGGAAATTCATGGCTGCCTTCTACTGGAGTAAACTTTGATGCCGGCCTAGGTTAAAAGTTGAACCAGTTTGTATCAAGGGTGATTATTTAGAATAAGGCAATAAGAACTGCTTGTCATTAATCAATTCCACAAACACACCATTTGAAATAGGGAGTGGTGGGGAGAATTATATCCTCATATATTGTAATTGTAATATAGAAACAAAGATATAGAAAAAAAATATATAAATGATTATGAAGTGTAATATAGATAAATATAAATAAATAATCTTCTTATAAGTATAATATACAGGCTTGTGTTTTGAATTTATTTTTTTGTGATACTATAGAAAATATTGGGTGATTAATGTTGGTGATCATGTAATAAACAAAGTAGTTGTAAAATAGTTGATCACGGATATGTTGGCTAATAAGATCTCTGGCAATTTTTTTTTTTTTTTGGGGGCCCCATGGGGCCAGAAGCCCATCCCCCAACCCTGGTGCAGGTGGGATTTGATCCCAAGTCTCCTCTACCAAGATCTAGCAAAATCTTTAGCAGTTGAAGACTCTTAAAGGATTTATAATAAGGCAATATCTATGATGCAAGAATTGCACCATGGTAGGTCCCAACCAACTGGTTGGTATGTTCTCCTGCTGATCGTATCAAAGTTGACATTTTATACATTGTTGAAATCTTGATAACTAGTAAATAAATCATAAAAATGCAAAAGTACATTTTATAAAATATAAACCAATGAAATTAAAATGATTGATTAAAATCTTGATTTAACGTGTTGCAAATATTTATTAATACATGGACTCTCTTACTGATAATTGGATGAGTTTCATTTCAATAATATTTGTTAGTTGAAGATTAAAGAAAATATTGAGTTAAGAAAACAGGCTTTCAAGGAGCGCGGAATTGAAATCCTAGATAAATATATTGGTGCCAAGAATAAGACCTTTGTGAGGATTGCGGGGCCTGCTTTTATGATTCTGTAACTGATTTCAAAATCTCTCTTAAAAGCTTTCTCAAAAGTTGCATGAATAACGATACACTGCGTCCTTTCTTATTGAAAAGTCAAATAATAATACAACCACAATTTATATCCTGATTAATTCTAAGCACCCGACAAGTCCAAAGTCATGAATTATTGTCTGAAAGTGATAAATGCTTTTAAACAAGAAAAGGGAAAAAAAGGGTAAAGGGAGAAAAAAAGATAGAAATTATTATTAAGATAAATTAGATTGCATTTGGATAAGGTCCAGGATTTATGTTTTCAAAGTCTAAAAGCACAAAGCAATTCTTATAAAACACTCAACACATTTTTTTAGCTCATTTTTGCTTCCAACAGCCCAGAACTTAAAGCAAAAACTTATCCAAATGAGTTGTTAGTTATGCCTCTCTTTGGATTTCTTCAAATGCTCCTTTGGGTTTTACCTATTAACTTATTCACGCCCCTTATAATTAGGGGTCAAGTTGTTTATTCCACCCTTCACTAATATTTTGTAAAATTTAGGGATCATTGATTTGCTAAGGAAAACAGTTGAGTTTGGCTTTTCATCCATACTAGCTAGTTGAGTATGGCTGTGACACAAATGCGTATGTACGTAGTAGGAGAAATAACGATAGAATTGAAAGCTAAATAATTAGTAAGGGCATTCTGGGTATGTAAAAATTGAACATCAACCAAACTTGGGACGTGAATCTTTTAGGTAATAAATAAAACAGCTTTGATAAGTTAGCTTAAGCAAGTTAGGCCAAGTAAAAAAAAAAAAAAGTACTTTTTCTATGAGCTAAAAATGACTTATGAGTTTTGATTTATCAGGTGAATAAATAATTTTTCTACGTAAGATGAATATTTACAAAATATAATGGGACAAATTTATCCATTCTAATTTTGACTTTTATGGATAAAAAAATCATTATATCATCCAAACACTTATTTGATCCCAGGTCCTCTTTGTACTTGCGACCCTTCTGTAACATTATAAAACCTTGATCTATGGTGGTGTCCTCTCCTTCATTATTGTTTGGTCTCTCACTATTTTTCGAGTCTCTGTCTTGAGTGTCCATGTCATTATCTTGGATCTTCTTCTTTGCTGAAACATGTTGGGCTTCTTCACTTTGTTGATTATTAGTAGTATGTCGCTTAATATATAGGCATTTTTGAATTATGTCACTAAATCGTCTCAACTCATTAATATGTAATCTTTCTTCCTCCTGAGTTAAGTTCATCATCCACTTCAATATTTGAATCAACTGAAGTTGTCTTCTCCCCGTTAACCTGTTCGGATGTTCCAATATTGATATCAACTACCTTGAGTCGATCCTCCTCCCTATTATCTGATTTCATAGAGTCATTTTCATGAACACATAACGAGTCCCAAAATATGACATCCCCTTTTTTAGGATTTTTATACCCAAAACTCGCTGGGGTCTGGGGCTCAAATCACCCCTCCTAATCAAGTCCCAAAAGCAACATGATTCGATTCAATTTGTTCAGAACTAGGGCCCACAGTAGGATCTATGATGAGGGATCGATGTTAGGAGTGTCTTCCATGCATGCATTAAGTCCTTTTTATAGAACACGAAGAGTGTTATTTTGAAACCTAAATGTTGATTTCTAAGAAATGGAAATTTGACCATTTTACCATTGGATGAATATATTTGGTTATTATTTTATATTTATTAACATTGAAATATTATGCATTTGCATCATGACATAATTATAATTAATAAAATAATTAAATAATGATTTCATAATTATATCTTTAATTACTAAAATAATAGATAATTAATTAATTAATCAATTAATACTTTTAATTTCTTAAATATTTATTATTTAATACTTTTAATTAATTTTTTAAAAGTTATAAACTAAATTGTTAATTACTAATGTCATGGAAGGCATTTTGGGCAAACTGTACAAAGAATTTCATTATTGAGATTCCCATAAATCTACAACATTAAGTCATTAGGCGAACACTTTAAGATTGCCTATTAAAAAGTCCAACCGAACACTACATGGGAGTGTTTATTTGCACCGAACGTGCCTTGAAATAAACCCCAAAATACTTTTGGGGATGTCAAGATTTGAACCCAAGCCCTCATGGTTACAAAGGCCATAGTTTCACTTAACCATTGTGTTACTTAATTTATCTGATCATTTGTTTTCATTTTAATATGTGAATGTTTACATTAAGTAAAGTTTACAAAAATTAAATTTAAATTATAGGTTTTGAACCATATAATGATAATCTTGCATATTAAGTTACTCAATTTAATCAATAAAGTTAATATATCTTTTCTTATTTTGAAGGGGGGAGTAAAGAAAGAATAGGTTCCATGGGTAGACCCTGGAATCGACCCTAGAACCACCAAGGCTAGAACCGACGTTCACAGGGTAACCGAGCTGAACCAACCCACGATCTATATATATATATATATATATGTGTGTGTGTGTGTGTGTATGTATGTATGTATAAAAATAGATATAGATATATATAATACACGACATGTAATGTATACATAAAATTTATTTGATACTTTCTGTAATAGAAAATATTATATAATATGTGTAGACATCCCATTTTTTGTACACCTTTCTTTGTTATTTGTAGGTGTTCTTCAACTTCTACAATCTTACAACTACACCTTTCCAAGGTTATTCTGGTCACTTTTCAGCTAAAATTGATTTAACCAAATCAGACCATTAAAATGCGTGGAAAAATGAAATTTTAAGTCTTTTCATATCCTTTGTGCCCAAATATAAGCTTAATTTCCTATCTAATTCAAGGCTGATTGGTTAAATTAATCATAGACCTTCATATGAAATCTTCTCATCTTAGGACCTAATTGGAAGATCACGATGTATTACATCTTTCTAGAAAACTCTTTTGAGTCTACTTCCAAAACAATAATTAGAGAGCAATATTTACAGTTGTTTATACAAAGTTATGGCTATTTTCCTAGAGAGGTGCAATGGTCATCAAAAGTATTGATAGTAATGATCATCCAATTGCACACAATTAACATTCAAACTAAAGTAGTCAAATAGGGTTGATCATGAAGGAATTCAAGTCATTCACACCTCCCTCAAGTTTCTTTTGGTTCAAAAGCACCAATGATTTACCATTCAATTTGAGGATCATCCTTCTAGTTCTAAAGCACCTATGTCCTTTAAGTACAAGGACATCCTGATTTGACAAGGTTTGGATAGAACGCTAATGGGAAATGGTGAGAAGCCAAAAGTTATAAGGGATGTTGATTGGGAGGATATCGAGTCAAGGTATGTTAATACAATTCGATTGCTCCTGGACGATAATTTTTTGTTTAACGTTATAGAGGAAGATTTTGCACCAAAGTTGTGGGAGAATTTAAAAAAAAAAACTTTATTTGGGGAAATGCTTAACCACAAAGTTATATCTAAAGGGGCAGTTGTACAAGCTGGAGATGGAAGAGGATGGGGATCTCTTGGAACAGCTAAATGTGATTAACAATATCTTGGATCAACTAGGGAAAGTTGATGTCAAGGTGGAGGAAGAAGACAAAGCCCTTGTATTTCTTAACCATCTTCTTAATTTGTATAAAAACTTGGTGACAACGGTGTTATATGGGAAAGACAAATGAAGTTGAAAGAAGTCATCGTGCCTCTTCTATCCAATGAGATTAAGAGGAAGCCTAAGAGTAGGTAACATTTTGCATTGGTTATGCAAGGAATGGATCAAAAAGGAAGGTCGTTTAATAAAGGATTTGAAAGTGATAGATCTAGATCTAAGGCCCAAGAAAAGGGCAAGGTTCAATGTTATAGATGCAAGGAGTTTGGTTATATGAAGAGAGATTGTCCTATACGAAAAAAGATTAGGGATTGATCTGAAAGTGTAACGGTCGCATTGGATGAGATGAAGATGTTCTCCCAGTCTTTGTAGATATGTACAATTTTTCTCCAAATGAGTGATGTCAAGGTGGAGGTTTGTGGTGTGGCATATGCCCCAAAAATGTATAAGAATCTAATATCACTTAGTCGGTTGGATTCCAAGGTCTTTGTTGCAAGTAGAGTCATGAAATCCACATGTGATGGTATGGTCCTGATAAAGGGAGAAAATTGCAAGGTAGTGTGGCCACATAAAGAGTCTCTTTTGTAATTGGGGC